ATTGAAAAATCATTCTAAAGTTCGACCTTACCATGTTTGTCGTTAGCACCTCCTGAAAACCACTGCCATATACCCCGTGCGTATGAAAGCAGTGACTTGCATATATCAGCCCCAACAGTCACTGTGAACATCAGACTGTAATCAAATGCCACTTCTATTGGAATGGAGATTATGAGTGCATGGCGCATTCCAAAATTGGCGAAAACATTATCCTTCGCTTTTACTAATGCGCTTTTTAACAAGTGTCTCCACATTATATTGGTCCAATAAATTAGCGACACACAGGTAAAACTAGTGCTTCCTAAATTGCACTAGTTCTCTGAGAAACAAAACCTCAAAAATGAAACAAACAGAACCAAAAGGATACTGAGAACTTTGTGCCTGTTAAGCCGAACGCTTAAAAAGAACGAGGAAGTGAAAAGGCCGCCGATGAAACCCCGCCCTGCTAGGTGATAGTTATTTCAGCGCAAACAGGAACGGGCGGACGACGAAGGGGGTTTTCCTCTCAGAACTCCCTCATACTCTCACTCTCTGACCAATCGCTGCCTCTCTGTGTCGACCACGGGGGAATCCCCGTTCTCCACTTCCACTCCACCTCCTCCTTCTCGTCCCAGCACCTCGATCAATATCGACACTAACGACGTCATATTACGAAGTGCCACGTCTTTCTTGCCTACAGCAATAAGCGTAAAATCCGAAATAAAGGAAATCTCTAGGAAGGCCATTTTGAACGAAAACGACTAAAGGCAAGCATAAAGGATGGTCCAAAGATGGAAAACAAAAAAGCAATGTGGTCAATTATGGAGAACATCATAACCAGCAAACGAGTAAAAATTGTAAAGCATGGGCTAATGACGTCACAATTTGTCTAGAAATAGAAAGGGAAGGACGACACAAATTTGAATTTGAAATTCGACACAGATCTGGATTTGAAGTTACTTAATCGAATAGTTTTCGGAACGTCTTTCACCTTTCAACGCCGTAAACTTGGCGATAACGCCGAAACATGGCCGAATAATTATCGCTATCAGTCCCGCCTGAGCTTGATTCGTCGGCAAGCTTGCATAACGAAAAATGAAAAAATACCCAGAAGGTGAGACCAGGACAGCGTTCTTTCCATTCAGCAGTTAGAAAGGTTTCTCTGCACAAAATTAGGAGCACCAACTTACCCCTGTAGCTTTGTATTGAAGGCAGTGGTATCACATAGTGGAACAAATGGACAGGTATCACCACTCAACAGACAACGAAACAATGAAAGTTTTGGGTGACTCAAACTTGAATGAAACCTCAACCTGTGGTGGATGGAAACAATGACTCATAGCACTCCTTAATAATACTTCAGCGCTCTATATAATTGGCAGGAAAAGGCTGGTTCCAGTCAAAGGTAAGTGAATAACAAGCAAGGAAACGAAAGTGGCACACGTATAAAGTAGTGACCCTAGATTTATAGGAATCACAGCACCAAACATTTCTCAGAACTAGCCAAGCCCCACGCGACTAGTGTACAGGTTCTGCTCATGAAAGATATTCACTTCCTAACTTCACCGAGCTATTGCAAGCAATTTCATAGCCCCCATTCATGTAGCGCAAAACACTCGCGGCACACCATAAAGATCTAGCTCCAAACATAAGTGGAATATGAACTAGGTGGTATTTTAGGGAGAGTGGGCAACCTTTTCGTCTTTCACTCGTTTCTTCACTAGGTCATTTTTGATCGTTGTCAAGCCGTACCACTGAATTTTTCGCTATCTCTTCATCTCTGGCTGCCATTTCATCTAATATTTTACTCGCTTACCCTTTTGGCCCTGGCGGTGGCAATTGCCACCATAAAGTCAAAGGTCTGCATTGCCGGTGCAACAGCATATTTCTACCCTGCTAAGGTTGCTTCAGTCAACCTTCCCCTTCCTAATTATGCTTTAAACCCGCCATTTCATTGTGTGTTATTGTTAACATTATTATTTTACGCTTATGTCTTTGCCTGGGGTGCAGATGCACATAAGTCTAAGGTCGCGTGGCGGAGCAACGCATATTTTATACCTGCTATGCGGCTTTGCTTCATCGACATTCCCTGCCATGGGCCTTCAGCCCGCCATTTTGTTGTGTGTTACGTGTTAGTTTTAGAGTATTGGTGTGCAGTGGAAAAGAAATCGGCGTTAGTTGTCAGGTGGGTACATGTCAACCAGTTTAAAAATTTACAGGTGTTCATTTTGTTATCAGAATGTTAAGTATGGGTTTTGCGCAGACCATTTAAGCTTCTGCGATATAAACAAGAGAATTTGGGTTGGTTTTTTTTCGATATAAGTGAAACAAGGAAGCTGAGTCAATTTTCAAAGCTTCCTAGTTTCTTCGCCTATGTCGAAAAGTTTCCAAATTCCGGCATAGCACTATTCATGTGTTCACAAGTAATAAACAATAGCAAGAAAAGATTTTTTCCACGGAAAAAAAATTAGGGCTGGAAGGGTTAAAGCTGTATGTATCGCGTTCGAGCCCATTAGGGTACGAAAGGGCTAATGAACCGTAAAGTGCGCACGTACTCGTACACAACACAAAGCCTTTCTATGCTTTGAAGCAGTGAACCCGTCAATACAATAGTGCTTGAATAAAGTACAGGGGATGGCGAAAAGTCACTTCGCTCATGCACATCACCAAACTTCTTCGCGCAGGGTGCCTCTGTTGATGCAGTTTTACGGCAGAACATTCCTCAGATAGTCCCCACCCCTCTTCAGCAAAAGTAGGACCTCATACACTGCCTTCATCGTCTTCAAAATATACCATCACTACCGAGCTCAAGGAGGCCTACCGTAATCGCTCCAGCCTGAAGCTGCTACACAATTTTCTCAATCGGTCAACTGATGATAGCTTCTTAGACGGTAGCTCTAAACATGCTGGACCCCTTCCACCCAGCGTTTCAGATAACGTCGTAAGGACCCACCACGATCCTTTCAGAATCTCGCTGATTTCGAATCGTACTTCATGTTCCCACGGGAAATCTCCAGATTTCGACGGGTCAGAAGGCTATTATGTTTTTTAGATAGAATTGAATGTGCTCTTCAATTTTCAGTTGGGATCTTTCGGTCCAAATTCAGCAAAGTGATCATTCCTTTTGAATTAAGTACAAAACCCTCACCTTACCTCACAAAAGATGTGAAAGATCACGTTATTACAAAGCAAGTACATCAAGAAACATTACTTAGCCGATATGATAAATGTCCAAGCATCAAAAGGGTGCCATTGGTTTTCCATAGATACTCACTCTTAAATTTCGCTGTTTATTTTACGACTCCTCTAATCCTCAATGCTCGCCGAACGCACGCTTGCGATTCGTATTTTCTAACCTCGCTAGATTGGGACAGAACACCAAAACTTAGTATCAGCCGAAAAACCATGCGTGATTAGTAATCGCTGCGGAAACGGCCTTGTGTGGGAAGGAATCCACGGATTACTTTCCAAGGGCCGTATTCTCAATGTTGGGGAGGGGATGGGTAAAGGTTAGGGAGGTTCACCGGAGAACCAACTGGGCAACGACCGCACCTTTGATTTTGCAGCTTATTTCCATTCTTCCATCGCTGCTTTTGGTGTGAAGGAAGGTATCTAC